ACGGGGCGGCTTAAACAACACACATTTATCTCTCACAATCCTGGAGGTTGAAGTCTGAGATTAAGGCGTGGCAGGGCTGATTTCTCCTGAGTCTTCTCTCTTTGGCGTGTAGATCCCGTCTTCTCTCTGTGTCCTCACATGGTCATCCCTCTGTGTATGTCTGTGTCCTCATCTCCTCTTTTTACAGGGACACCAGTCCTATAGGATTAGGACACACCCTACTGACTTCATTTTACCTTAATCACCTCCTTAAAGTCCCTGTCTCCAAACACAGTCATATTTGAGGTTCTGGGGGTCAGAGCTTCAACACAGGAGTTTTGGAAGGACACAGTTCAGCCAGTAACAGTGTCCCATTGGACACTGTAAGTCAGGGGCCCTCATGGACAGGGTGTGGCTTTGGCATGAGATGGTCATGGGTGGAAGCTCTGGTCCTGCCCAGGCGTCCCCACTGAGCAGTGTGGACCTGATATTCAGGCTGTGTCACCTGTGCAGGGCGTGGCTGGTCATGCACAGTCACCTGCCTGCTTATCGTGAGAGCAAGTTGATGACTGTGCACAGGTATTTGGCACCCACGTTGCAGATGTCCAAGGGCAGCAGCTGGGGTCACAGTTTAGCAGCACATGTCTCTTCCGGGTTCCTTCTGCCCTCAGTGTTTTCCGGGTTCTTTGAAGAAGACGTGTTTCTGTAAAAGGTCTGAGCAGGAAAAAGCCATCAGAGGTTGGAGAGTAAACCAGAAAGAATGCAAATCCAAATTAACACTTCAGTGTAAACCCAGTTTCAACCTAGTGAGAAGATCGATAGTTAAAACTCATAACCTATCTGGAAACCTTGTTTTAGCAAACAGAGGCAGGTGGGACACTCGCTCCAGGATTCTCTTAATCAAAGCAAAGAAAGATTTGGGGCAACCAAGATCTGGGCAAATGCCCGGAGTTATTTAGAAAAAGGCCCCAGTTTTTAAACTCTGTCCTTTTTTTATTACCCAGACCCTCTTTTTTATAAGTCAGAAAGATTTCCTGCACCCGAGCCTGATATCCCAACAGATGGAGGCAGAGCAGCCACGGGGCCAGGCTGGGAGGTGTGGAGCCCAGTGCTCCCCCAGGCAGGGCCCTGAAAGGCTGTGCCTTAGCCAGGAGGGGGGACCCTACACCTATGAGATGCTGCAGCTGGAAGACCCCACACCCAGGAGACCCCACAGAGGAGACCCTGCAGATTCACCGCTGTGCCCCTATCCACAGTCCTGGATTGTGGGGTGGAGTTAGTGTGTGATCTGAGGGCGAGGGCTCCTCTGGAGGCAGGACACATGCTGCAGCCACTCCAGAAAAGGGCTTTGTGGGCTCTTCGTGTGGGGGTGCCCCAGGTGGCTCTGGGCACCTCTCTCTCTCTCTCTCTCTCTCTCTATTCTGTATGAAGACGAAGGGAAAAAACCCTTTTTCTGCCCTCTTAGGTTCTGTGAACAGGGTCCTGCAAATTAAGCTGACAAAGGACAGATGAACAGGGGAGAAGGTTTATTTCATATGCATGTGGGGGCCCCACAGAAATGAAATGAAAACCCCAAGAGATGGTCTCTTAAACAAAGGGTGACATGTTTGTGGAGAGGGGACTAGACAAAGGAAGGGATCTGAGCTTCTTGGAGCCATAAATCGTGTGTGTCGGGGGGTAAGTATCTGGGGAAACTAAAGGGAGATGGGTCGCTGTACGGGGTTTGTTCAGTGGATTCCTCTTGGTGAGTCTCGGTCAGTATGGGCAGCTGTTTCTCAAGTGCCTTCGGCTCAGAACAGTCCTTATCTACCGTGGGTATTGGGGGGCACATTCTGGCCCCCTGCATGTTTCTCAGGACCCCTCCTCCTCTCTCTCCCTCCCCTGTCCTCAGGAACCCATCTCTGATCTCCCCACAGCCCAGACCACCCC